GTAAACTGTACTTTTAGAGTTACTAGGTGTGCAGACAGATTTAGAAGGTTTATACATTAAATTGTAAGCTAACTTAAAAGGATAATACAAGTTTTGATTTTGGAAACATTCTCTGGGGAAAAAACTCCCCCCAAAACTAGATTTGCAGTAAACATGTAATAAAAAAAACACATGGGTGTTTTCTTTTTCATGCAATTTATAAGTGCCTTTTCCTTTCTGGGAAAGAAGTGTCTCCAGTACAAGTTGAGTCAATTCATCATATTCAGAAAAGTCATAGTGGCTACAAGTACTCATTACGATGCCTCCTTAAGAAAGGGAGGGTAAAATGGTGATTTAGAGTAGGTAAAATGGTCTGCTGTTTATATCTGGTGCCTCATATTAATCAGTGTTGTGGTTTTTTTTTAATTAGAAAAAAGTTTGACATCGTTTAAATACGTGGTGAGAGTGGAGTGTATCCAGATGTTTGTTGAACTAGAGAACAGGCTGAGCCAAATGTACTGGGGGGAACTGGTTTCTAATCCCAGATCTCCTGAGCAGGTGCTATTTGCAGGTCAGTGTCTCTTTTGATAAACTACAGATAGCTTATCCTTGGTCACTCCCTGAGAGAGATGGAGATGGCGGTGCTGGGAACTGCCATCCATCATGCTATTACAATGCCCTGAAGACTCTTGAGGGTGAGAGCAAATTGGTGGCCCAAGAATTGTTGTTCCATCTCTTTCAAGGGTGTTACCATATCTGGGGATGAAAATTGTGTGTTTTGCCCAGCTGTGCTCAACACTAAAGCATCCAACAGTAATAGTAATTGCACTGGTGGGATTTGGTGCTGGGGGAATTCTGTGCGCTGGGAGCTGGAGGGAGGCCACCAATTCATTGCACATATATTATTTCTCTAGGAAACACAGCATAATTGAGGACAATTTTCCACCATGAATTGCATCATTAGCTAACACAGGGAAAGTGAAATGCTGTTAACTTTCCTTTTTCTTCTTCAAAGCTGATGAGCTGAAGAAAATAGAAATAAAAAGTTTAATATAATTTTTTCCCAAGGATGCATGTTGAAAGCCAGAATCAAAACACTTTTACACAGTAATAGAAATCCCACATTTTAATACATCACCATGCACATAAGGAATCAAGTAATGCGGATACAAAAGAGTCAAATGTACAAAATGATAAAGCAGATTTTCAGGCCTGATAGAGATCATGCTCACAGATACAGGGGGGCAAACATCTGTACAGTTTCATTTCTACCAATTTAAAAAGAATCATGCCCCCCCCAATTTTTTTTGAGGATAGCCCAAAACTAAAGGGAAATTATAAGAAAATATAAAGGAGACCCAAAGGGAATTGGCAAGTTGATAGCTGCTTACTAGTAAGATATGGAAATTGGTGGTTCAAAATTGTGGTGCACAATAATTCTATGTTTAGAGAAAACATTTCTAAACATTGTATGTCCTGGAAATCCAGGGAACAAAAATGAACATCCAGCAGAAAAGGCACTCTTATTTCACCACCTAACGTGTTTGTGTTCACCTAAGTCCAGCCTGGGTTTTTTTTCAGGGTGCATAGAGGAAAAAATCACAGTTGTGGGCGATGAATAAAGAAAATACTTATTCAATTAACTACTCTTAGGGGACTAAGAGAATTCAGACTGCTGGCTTAACTACTCACTTAAGGAAGCTAGAGAAATGTCTACCATTTACGTAGGCTTTGTGTTATGAAATGTGCTTGTATAATCATGTTTGTCAGTGTTTGTAAAAGGGTGAACCAGTTTTTAATTTGATTTCTCTCTGCCCACCCCATACACTATTGAGAGCACTGGTCTTATCTTCATTTCACATTGTTTTTCTTCTTCTTTCTTTCCTAGAACAGTTGCTAGTACACTACAGCTCCTCAAGAAGTTTGATATGGCTCGGTGCTTCCTGTGACCATCAATTTGTCAATTTCACCCTTGCCTTGGTCTTCTCAAACCCTGAGATCAGCCATCTGCTGGCACTAAGCCAAGTCCAAGGCTCTCTCCCTTGGCTAAGTAATATTGCTCTAACCCTTTGGGAAGTGGAGAAGTGGAGCTAAATGAATGCCTTGGCTGTGGGCTCTGTAGATCAGCCCCCAAATATTGGAAGAAGCATGTGTGGGCAAAACTGTGATTGTTACGTTGTTATCATTCTTTCTTTTATTTTTTTAAATCCCCAAATGGAGCCTTGGTAATAATAGCTATGAGGAGAAGGCAGAAAGTAAAGGGAAAGGCTCACTGACTAAAGCCTGTAGCCTGGTCACCATGAGAATTACAGAGATACTGGTGGTATGGGACAGCTTCTCTTAGCTCATCTTAGCCTGCAAACAACCCTGTCTGCTAAGGAAGGGCAGCTGGCATCCCAACCAGAAGGGCAGAAATCCAAGGCGATGGGCAATTTCTATTGAATTCGTGTATTCCTCCTCTTTATCAGAGCAGTGCAGTGTCCACAAAGTCCCAAGAATAACTCAAGTATATAAACCACAACAGATCAATATTTCCTTTTCTCAGGTACTTTTGATGGCGAATATGTAATTTTGTAACGATATTGATCTTTTCTAAAATTTTGTGTGCAGCTGTTTCATTTAGTGCCTAAAATATTAAATAGATTAACTGGAGCTACAGTAGTATGATTCAGTGACACAAGAGTTTTGGTGGAATTAGTTTCAAAACACTTATGCTGGCTTGGCTTTTCAGCAGATGAGTTGCTTCTGTGCCCACCACGACCGAGACTTAACAGGGCCAAATCATGAGCATGGCAGTATTCGGTTCTGCCATGTGAGCTCCTTGCACTGGCTCAGCCATGGTCTCCTCAAACATGGCCACATAAGGATAGCATCTTTCTATTGGAGGAATGGTAGTGGCAGAGAGATCATTCCAGTTGCCTAAGTATAAGGTTGAACAAGTGGAACCCCAACTACCCCCAGTTGGGGCCAACACTCACTGAAGGGGCTACAGCTTCTTTTTCTGATGATTGGAGGTGGGAGGTGAATTACAATGAAAAAAGACAAAAAGTGCCAGTGTTCAAACATGAATATCCCTTCCTCCACATCTATAAAGAGGAGTCTTTTGATGTGAACCTGGTATTGCCTTCAAAACCTCTGCAGCTGGTGTGAGGGGAAACCTATTCTTGGTCTTCTCTTGAATGCTCTGTGTGGGAACCAGGCATGGGAATTGTCCAAAGCAGCCACAGAGTGAGCATGCAGCTCTCAGTGCAAACACAAATGCAGTTGATTGCGGTTGAAAAAGTACTGGAAATACATATGAAGAATGAGAATTGATTTAGGGATCATACAATCAAGGACCATGACCATACTCAATCCAAATCATATTATTGGAATGATGCTTGGAGAGTTTACTTAGAGCAGTGGTTCTCAACCTTCCTAATGCTGCGACCCTTTAATACAGTTCCTCATGTTGTGGTGACCCCCAACCATAAAATTATTTTCATTGCTACTTCATAACTGTAATTTTGCTACTGTTATGAATCGTAATATAAATATCTGGTACGCAGGATGTATTTTCATTGTTACAAATTGAACCTAATTAAAGCATAGTGATTAATCACAAAAACAATATGTAATTATATATGTATGTGTTTTCTGATGGTCTTAGGCAACCCCTGTGAAAGGGTCGTTCGACCCCCAAAGGCGTCACGACCCACAGGTTGATAACTACTGACTTAGAGCTTCAGAAGGTGTCTTCATGGCATTTGTGCTATTTAGAGAGAGGTCAGGCTAACCTCTGGGGAGATGGAAGATCACCATCAGCGTGTGGAATGGGACAGGAGCGACCAGAAGATGCTCAAGGCATTTAATAGCAAGCTTTCTTTCCTTTAAGATTATATCACAAAATCAGTTCCCCCACCCCGAGAGAAGTAATGATCTCATAAGAATCTCTCATTTTGCAATTTTTAAATATTTTTAAATTGATTTTAAAAGTGAGAGCAGGGAGAAGGATAGATAGAAACACTGATTGGCTGCCTCCTGCATGCCCCCTACCAGGGATTGAGCCCCCAACCCAGGTATGTGCCCTGACTGGGAATCGAGTCAGTGACCTCTTGGTTCAATGGATCAACCCTCAACCACTGAGCCACACAGGCTGGGCTCGTTTTGCAATTTTTAAAAGGGTAAAGCATTTGAATACATTTTTATAGAATTTGGGTGGTGGTAATTAAATACAGGACACAGAACAGATCCGTGTGCTCACGAACATCAATCCAGCTTAGAATTCCACATGTGGTAGCTGTGTGTGTGCTAATGTGGTGAAGCCATAGGAAAGCAGCCCTTTTATTTCCTTGGATCCAAATGATTTAAATTAGAAGGCTAGAAACAATGCAGGAGGTGACAAGCAGAATTTGCAATGTCTTAAATGTTTTAGGTATTGACCTCCAACTTTGCATTAATTTAACTATCTCTTCATCACTCCTATTTTTCTCACTCTGCACTTTAGGCAAAAAGGCCTGCATTAAAGAGCCCTTCTAAGGCTTCTGTAAATGTTTAAAGTTTGGAACACAACAACAAAACAAGCAATTAAATAAATGAAATGCCTGAAACACTGGCTCCAGTAAAAAGAAGGTTGTGTAATCAGAAATAATGTCTAACTACCCCAAACACTTAATATTATGTCAACCAGTCAACTGCAATTCAATGCAAATCATATGGTTCCTTTGAAATTTCATTATTAGGTGTATGTTGCTGGTCACTTCTGGTGCTTGATGGAATTGGGGAAAGGAAGCCCTGAAGTAAGAATGCTTGGAGTGCGTCAAGATTTTAAAATAACCCTACATGGCTAATGAAACTCCAGATTGACCTAAGCAGGTCATTTCCCAGTCTTTGTGCTATTGGGCAGGGGGTATAAAACTGGAACAATACTCAATGGCACTTCCCCTTTCCAATTGTTACAGGTGAATTTCACCCTAAAAATTTCAGACCTCAGAAGCAGTG